CACATACTGCACTGCTGTAAAAAAGGCATCACCCTCATTGTTACCATATATTGTCCTAGTTATTCACTATGCTTGCCCTCCGGTCTGACTTAAAAGAGCATAGATCCAATTTACTTTGGAAAGGTGAGCTTTTCACATCACTAGACCACAGTGCTGATCACATTACAGTAAATTATGATAGTGACCTATTTAAACAATAATTAAAATTACATGCTATCATTTACACCACAGTTTTTTTTTATTATTATTTTGTGCACCACTATTGTCTGTTATTTCAGGAAACACTTTTTTGCTAGGCTGACTCAGTCTTTTGTGGTACAAAATTCTTTAGAAGAACGTTTTTACAAAAAAAAATAACAGTTACTAATGTACAATAAAGACACCATTGAATAAAGGGAAATGTATGACCTAAATATCACAATTAACATAACAAAAGCCTATATTCTGGTAACAAAATCCACAGATAGCATTTCTCATTTGTGAAATTACAGCACATACAGTATATGAAAAAGCACTTTTTTTCAGTAAAACACAACATTCAGCAAATTATAATATTGAATTGTAACATGAACAACAGTTGTTTATACCTGCATGAAATATGTCATCCATTATATATTAGTCTGTAATATACAATATAAAAAAGGAGTTGAGGTAACTTCCACTAATCAATATACTCAGTTAGCTTCACTTTTGTCCCCAAGGCCTACTGCACTTTATTTTGTCCCTTGATAACATTGCAAACTTTCTCTAGCTCCAAGCAAAAACACAAAGGTGTTACATTTCTTGCACCCTGTAGACCAGACATTCCTTAGGTAATTGCTTATAAGTAGGCACAACATATTATTTAGCTTTTTTCAGCTGAAGGCAGCACTTTTCAGTAACAGTTAATGTAACTTTGTCAGTCAATAAAAGTTGACAAAAGAAAACCTGTCCTTCTCTAAAGTGAATACAAAATAACTCAGTTTTTCAAAAGGACAAGATCAAGATCTGAAAAGTGCTTTCACCAGGCTATAGCTCAGTTAATCATTTTAAATTCATCCCAGGTTAGAATCTGCTTCAGAAAGTGGTTACATCCAAACACAGGTAACTGAAGATCTGCCATTATCAAACTGTAAAGAAATGTAAATCTTTCCACATATAAACTGGTTTTCCTTTTTAAAATTTCAGATTTTAAGATTTCATTGTACAGTGTAATTTATCAATGTACAGTATATTTCTAGTATATTGTATACAGTATATTACTGTTTCATTTTTGTTATGAACTTTTAATGTACCAATTTTTTCAGTCTTATTCAGTCTTAATTTTAATTTTTTAAATTTAAGAATTTATCTGAATTTCTAAGTTTTTCTATACTTCCATACTTTGCATATATATGTACTGTAAATACTATGAGATAAACCACTCACAATTTTGAAATGAAAGACAATTTAAAAAACTAAGTCAGGTTTGTATTAGGGCATCTGGGAAATTGTCAAACCTATTGGGAACAATATCATGTCCCTTTCCTGGCATACTTTGTAGCAGGTTTCCTATAGCTAGATCTGCTTTATCATTAGGGCTGAAATTCATCAACAAGATGAATCATTTGTTTACACAATACAGAAGCAAAAAAGTTTTTGCATACATTTAAAATGTTTCAGGGGATCCTATTAAGTAAAAAGTTTACAAGGTCATTATAAACTTCCTGCTGCTAGCTGTAATGTTTTTGCTGCAGTCCCCATTCATGTGATATCCTGAGAAGTATTTCAATTTTGTTTAACTAAGTGGTCCTGTTGGGATTTGTTTTATTTTGTAAGATAGGGTAAATGATTGAACTGTTTTAAAGACTTTTATGAAAAATTGAGAAGTTTGTCAATCATGTCTCAGATATGAATGTCCATTATACAGTCAATTAAGTTGTTTCTTCTATTATACAAAATCCTTTTTGGAAACACATTCAAAGGAAATATAAAGATTAATTAATGTATAAAATGTTTTCTTAAACTCCATTATTTTACCAGCATTATATTGTATATAATATTATCACGCAATGTGAGCTAGAAAGGATATAGAGTTGTTTTATTTTCCTTAAACACTGAAATACTGGGTCTTATGTTAAGTTTTAAGAATACCACAGTATTTTAAACTGTTTTTCAGTTTCCAGAATATATATTTTGTTCCCATAAAGATTATATTGTGCTGATTTGTTGACTTTTAAGTAAAGTTACTTCTGTTTTGCCTTCTTAACAATCAAAATAATGGAAAAAATAGGAACTTCAAATAAGAGAATTCTTAATGATAGAACACTAATGTTATCCTTAAATAATTGTAAATGTCTTAATACATTAAACAAGTTCACATTAAGCCCAGCATGGTGTGCATCTATAATTAATAGAAAAGCGAAAGCATTTGTTTAAATCAATGTCTGTGTTCAGGCTTTTATTCAATAGAAAATTGTGAATGTCACACTAACAACAAATAAAGAATAGCAGTGGATGTACAGAGGTAGATTCCTATATTATATGAGTGTTTTAAGTTATAACTACATGTATGCTTTTGTAATTAATACAGTATATACTGCCATGCATAATTTAACATATTTAGTGTTGTTTTGCTATTTCCTTCAGCCTTATTCATTTACAAGACACAATCAATATTAAATGCCTCAGAAAAGCTTTCACCCAAAAAGGTTTTTAAATCCAAGGAACTATGTTGTAAGACTAATCAGTAAAATATGACCGAATAAAGATCTGGTGATGTATGATTTAAAAAAAAATATATGCATTTTGATATTTGATGCTTACTTTTGCCTTATACTAAAAGTGTAGTGGGTTTGAGTAATTAACTAAAATAGAAGTACTTTAAAATAGATTATGGTAGCATAGGTTTCTAGAATTACTGTATTTTCACAAACAATGTGGGTGCTGCTAAAATAGATGATTCAATTCTTCATCTCAGACTAAAAGACTTATTTGCTTCCAGATGGTCCAAACCTGTAATCTGTGTTGCCTAGTACCTTCTATCAGAAAGCACCTTGGACCCCCTGTTTGTCTTGCAAAAATATTTTTTTTTTGGTTCCTGGCTTTACAAAGATGCAAATGCTTCTTCCTGTCCAGCACAAAATGGGAGCATTTCCCCTGTAGCCCTGTCCAGGTTCAAACGGATGGCAAAAGACATCCTGTGTCTTGTCATGATTGTTTCAGGGTATTTTTATTGGAAAAATTAAAGAGATGCTTCATACTCAGGGACGTTAAAAAGTCATGAAAGAGAAAAAGAGAAGTATGTGCATTACACACAAATGCACAAAAACCATTGCAATGCTTTAAACACGCACTTACATACAATTGTTATATTCTTGATTTCCACAATACACAGAAGAACTCTTTCTTCTGCATCAATAAAACAGAAGATAGATTAAGTGTAAGATACTGTATTCCTTGTATTGTCTTTATGTCTGATTATAACGCAAAAACAAGCATTCAGAGGAAACACATCTACTTGTTCTGAGTAAATTCCCCACGCTAGCACATTAGTTTTGGATTTTAGGAATAACCTTGAAACATTGATTTTAACACCAACATAAAATCCCATTTTGTACCTTTAACTTTCTTTTTTTATTCTTTCTCAGTAGATAGCATTTTTATTTCACAAACAAGCCTGTTGGAATACTAGAACATATGTTGTAGTATTACATGAAGGATGTCACTTAAAAAACTTCCAGGAAGCTACATGCCCCCTTGAGAACAAAAGATCCATAGTCTCACAATTTAAGGAACTGTCCTTTCTATAATTCTATAATCCTGTAGAATAAATGGATATATAATTAATTGTTTATCTAACACATTCTGACAGAAATACTCTTACACAAATATTTTTTTAACTACAGACTGATATTGACATAGCCTCCTTATTTAAATTGAAATGGGCAGTAGATTTACCTTTCATTCAGGTTTTAGTTTTAGTTTTATTTTCAGTATAAATTAAGATATTTGAAATGTCTGCATTGATGATAAAATATACAGTATGCACATGTATGAGTAAATCCTGCAGTTAATTTAAACAAACATTATGGCTTGCTTCTTATGTGACTTAAAAGCAAGACTAAGTGTTTCACACATGGACAACACAAACTTGTTTTATTGAATGTAAACAAATAGTTTAAAAATCCCTGACATTTTCTTCAGAGGCAAACTTGATACAGAGTACAACTCAAAGGATAAGGAATGGGTTATCAAATCAAAACTCCAGGTTAGGGTATAAAAAAAGATTGGAATGCAGAATTAATTTACTCCCATTTAAATATTAAGAAAGAAGTGCAAACACAACCTACAGAAACCATCAAAAGTTTATTTTAGAACAAAAGAAGGACAAACCATAAGATTTTATCTCATCTTTGACAAAAGGCTCTTAAGTTGTACAGTATAACTACTAATGGTATAGTTTTATAACAGTGTGGAAATACAATGGAAAATCACACTATTTGCACTTCACTATTTTACCTCAATGTAGTTATTCTCAATGTTTAATTATGTGAGATGTCTCATGTAATTTAATGGTCTTTTTAGTAACTTTGACTTTTTGCTTTGCTTTAACGCCTTAGTCTGTACCATTTAGAACAATTGTTACATTCTGTACCCAACAAAAGAAATGAGATGTAAAATTGTTCTCCATCAGTCAAACACAGAAAAGACATGCTAGCAGGGTATTTAATGTGCAGATTAATTTAGGTGATCTAAGTGTGCTTTTTTAAAGAATACTTTCTAATAAATAAAAGCAATCAACATTGCCTTTTCAATAAATCTGCAACCCCTTTTACCTCTTCGACAAAGTTTCAGAGATGACTAAGGAACAATTCTGAAGCAAAAACTCTTTAGGAAGTAAACATTTTCAACAGGTTTCATTTTTTCACAAGATAAGATAAGGACCTTAAAGTTATTTGACTCCATATCTGAAAACGGCAGTTACATTAACTATACCATAAACGTAACAGTGAATTAAAACTATGATTTAGCTAACTTACCAGTTTTTTAGAAGAGGCATTCCCAGACTTGTTACTTTGTTCCTGTGGATTAGGAAAACTTGTTTTCTCTCACTGCTCAATCTTCAATCTGTGAACCTCTCTTGAAAAGGTCCAGGAAACTCTGAATCCTGCCTGGAACAGTCGCAAAACACCAGACGCATATTAATAACTGGAAGTCCAGAGAAGAGGAAACTGCCAAAGGAAATGCACTCGAAACACATTACGAACCCATTCAGTAACAAAGCCTGCTGGTCTTCACAACAGAAAAAGGTGTTGTATCTTTCATGCTTATTCCATGACTGACTTCAGAAAAATAGTTCAGTTATTTACAGCCTGCCTTTCTAGATGATGCCAAGAAGCCAAAATGAATGGCATTTCAGATTCAATTCACCAGAATTTGAATCCGATTTTAATTTGATTTTGAACACAAAAACTAAATTCTTGAAACTATTTTAGACCTCCTCTGACATTTGTATTTCAGTGAATAATTAATACATTACTGTGGTTTGAAAGAAAACTCATTTTGATTAGACTGATTTTGTAGACAAGGGAATTGGAGAATTGTAATATTTTTAAGCTTTGCTGTTATCACTTCTTCTAACTAATAAGTGATGTTATTCTTCCTTGTCTCGTTCTTTATAGATGGATTTTGTTTTTAGGTAGACAATTATAATTGGTAAAGAAGAAGCAAGCAATATGCTGTCATTGCTTGACTTTGGGAAGGAAAGTACTCTGTCTTGCATCACAAATGTTTCTGAAAGTGTCTATAAGTCTCATATCCTGGATGCAAAAGAATGGGAATCTGAAATTTATACCATCCTTGTGTAGCCGCTTGTTAATGTGAGAAAAACACCTACTCAGTGATAGGGTTTGAAGATAATTTCCCAACACTAACATTGCTCGGATTATAACATACAGTAAGGACATAAAGTCACTAACAAAATAAATCAATTCAATATAGTACATCTTTTGCACTCGTTTGACTGCAGCTAATTGATCCAAGGATCTCTTTGTGCCATTTCATGAAAGATCCCATGAAATCACTTTCAATCTCTTGGGTGGGCAGTTTGTGCAGCCACTACTCTTGTGTAAAGAAGTGCCTCCTGTTCCCAGTTTGAATATAATGATCTTCCCAAAGGGCTAGGACATTTTTGGCATCACCTTGTTGTCTTCTGCAAGTGGTACTGTATGTGTCAGACACACATAGATGACTATGGTACAGAATACATTAAATAACTAAGCAACATGATATTGAGTTTCAAGCATACCAGTAGCCCTTTACATTTATTCTTTATTTAACTTCTAATCACCATCAAAATCACATTTTTTTCATAGCCCCACATGGTAGAATCACCGAGTCACTTATTATAAAGCTCATATCAACACATGAGGACCAAGTACCTTTTTTACATTATGAACCCCACAGCATCTGGAACAAAGTCAGCCTGTAATGGTGTAGAGATTTGGCTCTAAATCATACTCGCATCATGCTCACGGTGTGAGCTTATCATGATGATGGAACTCTCTGGAGCTGAAAAGTGTGCAAACTCATCACAACCAGCTTTTTGTGGTTGTAGAGGAAGGGAGTCTGATGAAAGAAGTTGGTGGATCAAATCCCAGCCTCAGAAGAAATACATGTTACTTTTCTACGAATTTACAAGTACCTCAATGCCACAAAGTCTCAAACTGCTGGACAGCGAGCCATGGCCATCTACGTTGTCTCAGGTTCTTCCTTGTTTTTAATAAAGCAAGTGTTACAGATCCCATGGATATATCAATCTAATTTTAAAAGGTAAATATGGGTAATGCAGTTTGTACCCTTAATCACACAAGAAGTCAGCAAAACATGTGATATTCAAATTGAGCATTAATGTCAATCAAAGGCAGGAGGCAGATATTAATAATTATCAGGCTTGTTTGTATCTTATTGATTTAAGGATCTTATCCAGTCATTTTTTAAATTGGTCCCAGGGTATAAGCTTGTGTATCAGCAGTAATTGGGATTTGGCTTTATCTCACAACTCTGAATTGAATGAAGCAGTTAGAAAATATATGGATGGACTTACTTTGTAACTGAAAGATTTTAGGCTCAAATGCTGGGTGGTGCTCTTCTGCTGTAAATATAGATTGATTTAGTTAAATTCCCAGCTACTGTATGTAAAATATATGTATACATTATACAGGTAAAATGTTGTTTGGATAAAAGTGTCACCCAAATACAACGATTAAACTATTTTTCAACAAAGCTGTTGGACAGCTTGTTCCAGACACCCACCATACTTACTAGAAGTTACTTTCTGTTCTCAGTCCAAAATGCTCCTGCTTTAAACTTTCATTTGTGCCCCTAGGTCTTTCTTTTCTTTTCAGAGCCCATGGGGTATATACTGTCAAAGACTAATCCTCAGCAAAATCCAAGAAGTGTAGGATAGTTGACGGTAAAATAATGCTGATTTTGAAAATGATTAATTGAAGCTCAATGTCAGTTCCTGAAATTCCCAAAGACTAGTGATAGTTCAGAAGTCTCTCTTCTGCTGAAAAATGATTTTTTAGTGATTCTGACAATTAAAGGGTGTTAAGGTGATGAGGCTGTTTCTTCCTGGGTCGTGGTATCAGTTATAGTCTAGGACACTGTCCTTTTGGAGTTTTCATGTGCTCACCATGACATCACGGTTCTTTGGTGGGACCTCCAGTTTCCTCCAGTCCAAAGGCTGTCTGGATTAAATCTTTAAGTGATCCCCATATGTATGTGTCTTTTTATGTGTGACTGAGATGGACTGGTGTTACATCCTGTATTGGACTAATCAGTTTTCAGATGAACAGATGGATAGTTCCAGCTATTGGTGATAATGGTATATAGATATTCAAGTAATTGAATAGACTAAGTATGATATGAAATAGGAATCATATTATGTATTATCTTCTTGATTCAATAGTGACTTTGGAGGAAACATACAACCTTTTCTGCAAAACATAATTTAAATAATTTTAGTTCAAAAACAACGTTGGATAAATGATTGCCTAGTCTACATAAAAGAAATGAAAAATAAAACCCTGGGTTATATATGTACCATTTCTTATATTTAAAATCTATATTTTTTCTAAACTTCATCCAATTCAGGGTCATGGAGGAGCTGGAGCCTCTCCTGGAAAGCAGTGGGCCAGTCCATTGCAGGGCACACTCAAACGCACTTATATTCAAACCTGGGCCAATTTTCCCAGAAACCAATTAACCTCCCACTATGTCTTTTCACTGTGGTAGGAAAACAAAGCACTTGGACTGAATACCCACCCAACATGGGGAGAACATACAAAGTCCACGCAGATAGCACCCCAGGTCCACAAATGAGCCCAGCACCCCAACACTGTGACGTACAGTAGCAATACTAACCACTGCACCATTATGCTATATACTCAAAATAACGATTTAGAATTGCATAGTTCAATCAATCCATTCACCAGAAAGTCACTTGTTTATTACCATTAAACTTCGTGTCAAATTAAAAACATGCATGCACAATTTAAGACTTTCATAATAACCTAGTATAACTAATAGAATTGTGATGTTTTGTATAAAATCCAAAAATTGCATAAAAAAAGGATTATCACCGTGCTGTTTCTATTAGACATCTGTGACAATCGGTGCCTAACATAAATATTGAGATGATGGACATTGAAATTTTACTTATCAGCATTATTCAATTATATTTCACAATCATTTGACAGAATGCATATAAAGAATACCATTTCCATGTTATGGCATCCTCACTCATGTGTTAGGAACCTCACTGAAGGAACCTCAATGATTTCCATTATGCCTGTTTTCTAAAAACAGAACTCAAATAGTTTTCTGGACTTCGTCATACTTCCTGCTTGTGTAAGGCATTGGATTAAGCTGAAACCTCAGGATGTTTTTCAGGAAGCAGGGCAACTGGAGATAGTCAAACCTTTTCCTTGCTGGTCTTAGCCTAATTAACCTCACTATGATCAATAGTAACATAGCCAATAAAATGTTATTTTACCGAATCATGTAACAAAATGCATTAAAAATGGAGATAACAATAGAATTTTAGCTGAGGTATTTCTAGCTTTCTACATGTCTTGTCTTGTGACAAGAAATGTTTCATGTTTCAATATTACTTTTAAATTTAAATATTTCACCTTTCAATATCACTTTACAGCATACAGTTAAATTGGAAATCTTCATTAATTTGTACTAATTTGTAAAGCAGTCTAGATTAGACTACATATATAAATGAATGGATTCACAGTTTACTTCCACATAAAGTGATAGGTATATTCAGATATTGTATATTTTCCCAGTATTACGTATCATGTTATTCCAAGACTGCAGGCTTTAATGAAAATTGATAACTCTTTCAACACATAAACACAGATAACCACGTATCATAAAAATATCTAAGTACTGCAGTAATATGAGGGAGGAGCAGGCTACCTAAGACAAGATGTATTATTGTTTATTAAACATATTAATTTTGTCCATTCATAGTACCTTTATCAAACAGGAATGTCCAACCAATTCTATTGCTCTGAATTACTTTTTATTTTATTTATTAATGTTATATTAAAATAATTTAATCCCTATAAAATACAATTTTATGTATGGAAAGTATCAATTGAGTGACATGAGACTGGTCTCAGCTTCAGTAGTATAAATTATCAAAGTTATACTTTATATATTGGTAAATGGGGTATGTTTTTATGAGGAATTCAATATATAAAAGTGTGTGGCAGATTAGAGCACAATGGGCAATAACCTTGCTGTTGAAGCAGATTCCCTGGACTTCTATCAATAAAGAGATCTGTGAGAGATCCTGGATCGATTAGCTACTAGCAACAGAACAAGCATGTATTAAAGGGTTTCTTGTCATTGGTAACCTGTTTCTATAAAATAAAATAAAAATGTATTTTAATCTCTTCAGGTCATGTGTACTGTATATAAAACAAACGTATAATTATAGGCAAATATACTCAGTGACATTAAAAATGTAAAAATTAATATCGGAACCAATAATATTTGGTGATTAATAATGGCTATTATACAGTATGTGTAGAATTCGTCCCTCAGATTAAATCGCAGTAAAAACAAAGCAGTCAAAAAGCTATGGAACACT